CAAATATGGATAAAAATACTTACCTCAACCTCATCTTCCAACTTTCTAGTTAGAACTGTAGACTTCTTAAATGGTTCTAATTCAGCCTTTTATTAAAAAACTAACAAAAAGAGCAGTTTAATATTAATTCTAAAAAAAAGGTTGGTAAATTCACCAAAAACCAGCAATTGAAATCTGCAAATCATAGTATTAAATTCCTTATTATTTATAATTAAACTCTCATATTGAAATAACAATTACATAGTGTGAAAACTTTCTTCTTGGTACATTTTATTTTCAGATGTCATTAAGACAATGCAATGTATTTAAATTTGAAGACATAGGCTCAACTTACCCATCATCTAGTTTAAACGACCTTTTAAAGAACTTTCTAGGTCATATATGAACTATAACAAGTATATATCTACATAACTACTATGCTACATTGTAACTTACACATACTGAACAACATCAGTTATTACCAATAAGAACCTTTAGTTGTACATCCAGAAATTAATAATCTATATTTCTAGAAAGCTAAAGGCAGGTTTGGCTCTTATAGTGGTTCGTAAGAAATCCTTAGGTCAAATAAATTACAAATACTTTCAGTAAGGTTACGATAATCAGATATTGATTGTTGTCATAGTAAGTAGCCCATATAATCATCTACCTCTAATTATTAATTAGCTACTTTTTTATTTGTAGATATTAATTACTAATCTATTTATATCTTAAGTTTCAGCTGCTAATCTGCTGCCATCTTTAGATCTTCTCTGGCTTTCTTGTTAGAAATGCTGCTATACTTGCTTGTCCAGGATCTTCCCCATTATGACTTGAGTTGCATATTTCTAGCAGCTCATCTGGTGGAAGTTATTACATAGTTGAATGGTTTGAAAAGGAATGTCCAGTTTTTTTACTTCTTTTCTAGACTGACTGTGTTATCAGCTAGGTAGATGAAGGAGTCTTCTTTTATCTTTCTTATGAATGGTGCATATTTCATTATTTTAGTATTATTCCATTTTAATGTATGGTCTCCTCCGATATAATGGACTACTGCAAATAGATCAGTATTACAGTCCTGTATGTCTAGTGCACTCCTGAGTTCTTTGCTGTGTGATAATTTCCCTACACAGTGAAACACATTTTTATCTGTTTATGCATTGAGTAAGGAAAGTCCTGGCCATTACCCTGAATACAGTTTACCCCAGGAGTTTAAAGGAGACCCACAGATGCTGGAAAGCTCCTGGAGCATAGTTCATACCACTGTAATGATGTAAAGATAAGCATCATAGGCTCAGAATGCCTAGTTTCAGATCTGAACTACTGTTTATGTCTTTGACTATTAATCTAAAATGTACAGTTGCAGTTAGTGCAGATTAAATCATCTAAAGATTTTTTGGAGATCAAAAGCACCATCTACAATATCCCTTGTAAATGTGGACTCTAATACATTAGCAAAATAAAAAGACCAACAAAAAGAGCTTGTCCCACAGTGGGACAGTGATAAGTCTTCAGATTTACAATTCTAAAATCAGGGGTTTGATTCCTCTTGGTGGACACAGCAGATAGCCTGATGTGGCTTTGCTAAAACAAAACACACACACACACAAAACATTGTTATGTTCATGACTTGAAAAGTAAACATTGTTTGTGAACAGCACCTACTATTTGCATTTAATGGTTTCTTTTTGTTTTGACTGGTGCAAACCACATTTTCAGTGTGATGTACTAATAATGATATATTGTATGCTGCAACCTTCTGTATGATAAAGTTAACTTCAGAGTAACCAACAAATGGGACAACATGGGACCTATTGGTCCATCTTGGCTGTTCTATCCTCTAACCTAAATTAAAATAATTTTTTAAAAAATCTTAAATCCAGCCCTTATCATTCATATACTTATCAAGCTTTTTCGTAAAATCACTTAAATTTACTGCCTCTACAAGATCCAAAAGCAACCCATTCCAAAAGCCAAACACCCTGTTAGTAAAATGAAACTGTCTTAGCTGAAGATGACTTCTACCTTGCCAAAATGTATATTTGTGGCTCCTAGTCCTACTATTATCACTGTTAAATATGAAAAACGATGATGCATCAACACTATCAATTCCCTTTACAATCTTAAACATCTCAATCAGATTCCCCCTAAGTTTCGTTGAAACGAAGTTACGGAAAAATCAATTAACAAACGGAGATGTAACAAATTGGTGTCAGAGAGTGGGATAGAAAAAAAAAGAGAAGAAAAATGGAAACGAGAGGCGGAAAATCAAACTACAGCTTAGCAGATTTGATGGCAGCAATACAAAAACAAGAAGAACGAGAAGAGAAATTACAACAGTTGTTAGAGGAAAAAGAAAAGAAACAAGAAGAACGAGAAAAGAAACAAGAAGAACGAGAAAAGAAACAAGAAGAACGAGAAA